TATATCTTATCTTATTTTCTTCTTGCTCTATTGAGAGAGCATTTTGTTAGAAGTAAATTCATATATATTATCTTATTGAGAAGATAATCATATTTTGTTATAAGTAAAACATGTATAAATTATCTTATTGAGAAGATAATCATATTTTTATCAAAAATAAATCTCATATACATCATCTTATTAAGAAGATAATCAGTTATATAATCTCTTGAAGTTATAAAAGTTAATAACTGCTGTGAACACAGTCACTATTATCATTTTAAAATAATTACATACATATAATCTTAAAATGATAATAATATTATCTAATATTACAAATATCATGAGTATTGGCATAGATGATAATTTTAATTTTTTTAATAGTAGTATATAAAAAATGATTAATTTTGGATATTGCTTTAAGTTGATTATTTGATGAAAGAAAAGTAAATGTAGATATATTTTTTATAGATTAATTTATCATACTTGTATAAATTATCACACATTTCATATATAATAAGAATTGTGAAATAATGCAATAATTTTTCTTGAATCAGAAAAGAGAAGATGATATATTACTTAAGTAATGTTTATTTCTGAATAAATATTGTAAATATTCAAGAAACTGTCCAGAAATAAGTACCACACCTTATTTTAGAGTCTGAAAAATGTCAGTCAAGTGATACTTATTTTCAGAAGAATATGATATTTAAAATTTTATAAATTTAAATAAAAAAGTATTTTAAATTTTTTATAATCAATTTTTCAAAAAAAATTTAATAAAAAAATATTAATTATAAAAAGTTTTATTAAGATAAGCTATTAAATACTTTTAAGTAAACTAAGTTATCAAGCATATATATTTAAAATTTTATATGAATTAAATAAATATTCATTGAATATAACCAAAAATAAAATATCCGGTTTTTTTTGTTACACGCTGTATAAACGCTTTATATATAGTAATTTTCAAGGGTGATATTAACTAACGATCGGATTCACGTGAAAACTACATCAAATATACTCCGTTTTTCCTTTTTATATTTGGCATGTCATTACACAGAATTGTGTGTATTTTTTGGATATATAAATATACAAATGTTTTTCTATCAAAATACCAAAAAAATTAATTCAACCATTTAATCATGATCTCATAAACATAAAAAGTCACAGCATTCACTGGCCAAGCTCTCAACAGCGTCGGCACTATCCCTTTAAAAATAAATTTCGACCCTTCCGCTTTGTATGATTTTATGGCGCAATCGATGATTCCAGTGTAATATGTTGTTGGCGGTGGTGTGGTTTTTGTGGCCGTTAGTGTTGATGGAGAAAGAGATGATGAAAAATTATTCTGATGATGGTTATATATTTTTACGCTTTGTAGTAGAGTTGTTTGTTCGAAAGATGAAGATGATGGGACTGCTGCGCGAGTTATTACGAATGGTTGTGAATTGTAATTTTCGGTAAGATTGTGAGTGACGTTTTTGTATGGTTGAACTTGAAGTCTCGTTTTAATTACGTCTAATAAAATTTTCTAATTAATAAATCACACAGGTGTACAAATTGAAATATATATATAGTTGGAATCATTACCCAAAGGATATATACAAGCCCATGCCACCACACCGGCCATCCCTCCAGAAAAAAGTAACTTCAAAGTATCATCATTATTATGGTTGTAGCTCCCGACAGCGAAATCATCATGATAATTGACAAGATTAGTGGAAGAAAAAGACGAAGAGACTCCTAGTAATCGTTTACATCCTTCGTATGCCCTGAGTTAATAGCCCGAAATACACATGGACAAATAAAAAATCAATGATTATAAATAAAATATTATTTTACGAGATAAATAATAATCACAATATTAATAATAATCACCAGAAATATACACCATAGCTAGTTGAGTCTCGTATCATTGTTGCTGTCCCTCCTTGGTATAATCCTTTTTTTGGGATTTTTATCGATAGATTTTTTTTTAATTTACTTAAGCAAGTTGGATTTTGAGGGTAAAGATAATATACCTAAGATCCCATGGTTTTTGATAATATTTCGGAATACACTCCAAGTGGAAGAAGATCGATAATGAGAATTCACTAGTGCTTGTGCTTTACACTTTACAACTTCTGTAGGTGTGCTAACCTTTATGATTCATAAATAGAGATTAATTTCGCTAAATTAAAAATGCTCAAATCAATAGGAAACAAAATAAATATCTTACAAAAAAAGACGCTATCCCAGCACCAAACCCTGCAACATAGACCTGCGAAAGCGACGGAGTAAAAGAAGATTCGTAATTTCGATTATGATGCTTACTGTTGAAAAATAAATCATTCTCCTCGCGAGTTCCCAGAAATCGAAGGATTCCGCCATATGAGGCGAATAAAATTGCATTTAAAAATGCAAGGCCTATTATCGGTGCTGCGATGCCTTTGAACCATGATCCCACCTAAATTTATTGTTTTTTAAAAAATAATTATAATAGATGAATCGATAAACTCTGGTTTTAATTTACCCCTTCTGTTTGCATCATTCGCCAAAGACTAACAGCACCTGCTGTTACTGTTGCATTTTTAGGCGAAATGTTGCGATTATTATGATCATTATGGTATATCGGCCGTTGTGGCATTTGAAGTCGAATCTAATTAAAATTAACAAGATCTTAACATTGGAGATTTCAAAGTAACGTCTTTACTTTCGCTAGATATTAATACGTTACCCGGAGAACGTCGAGTGGACTACCAACTATCAGTCCAGCTACACCGGATATATATCCTTTTTTATATTTATTTGATCAATTAAGATTCTGGTTTAATATAAGGACAAAATCTAATTTTTTTGCAGATTTACATATTAATTGGCTAATGAGCTAACCTGCCAAAAAGTCATTGAAACCGGCTGTTGCTGATTAAATTAAAAAATTAAGTTCGTGAATTAATATTTGATAATAAAAAAAATTTGACAACGACGAATATGTAAAAAAAAAACATACACATTTTACAATCAAATTTACTTTAATAAATAACAGATAGAATACAGTAAAGTCCCGAAAATAAGCAACCCCTCTGATTTTGTCCAAAAGTATAGGGATTAAGCATTTGAAAAGTGCTCAAAGATAAGCAACCCCCTAAAAATTCAGTCACAAATTGATAACGTAGTGGGTTGCTTATTTTCGGGACTTTACGGTAAATCTTTTTTTTTCTAGTTGCAATTAAGCAACTACTAATCATACAGTATGTACTCGACTTGTGTCAATATAAATCCAGTTGAGATCATCTTGCAACAATCCTTGCTTAAATAATCGAAACGCGAATTACCTTTTTTATTATGAATATACCAAATAAATTATACATTGAAATATAGAATAATGAATATATTGTGAAATTTTTTAAAATATCACATCTCTCTTATTATAAACAGATAAACATACTAAAGTGCATTATCCATCATCATTTGGCAAATTGTCCAAAGCGGAAAAGATTTCTGAACCACCCTTTTATAATAAAAAAAAATTAATTTTAATTTTAATATATATATATATCGAATATAATAACATGACAATATAATCTTTATATACCATATAGATAAAACACCACTGTCCCATTTGCTATTATCAAAGTAAGACAAAAACTTGATTAATCAGAATATAATTAATTATACATTACGATCAACCAGCTAAATTCCTTTTCTCCAATTTGATTTTTAAAAAAAAATACCTGATTCCTAGATTTCAAAACCTCAACGATCCTCGGCTTCATGGTACACTCTACCCCTTCTCGATTTGTATAATAATATTCTTGTACTTGTGGTCCGCCTACGTTATTACCGATAGTTTCATGCAATTCTTCCGGACAATCGGTGATGTAGAGTTGTACGTTAGTGAGATATGTCCAAGTCATACCGAGAGCTGGTTTTGTGATAGTAGATGCGAACGCTGATGCTTGGTTGTTTGGATAAGCGTGTACCGAAGTGTTTATCAACTTTAGAAAAATTATAGTTATGTGATCCAAATCATATAATATGTAAAATAGCTATCATTATATAATAATTATTATAATTATACCAGAATACCAATATTCCGTTTTTTGGCAAGGGTTAAGAGCATCCGCATCAGTGAGACCATTAGCGAATGACCTTATTGAATGGATACGTTCGTAATAAAATATTAACTGTTGTTATTCAAAAAGGAAAGAAAAAGGTCAAATTACCTTGACTCGTAGAGCTAGATAACAAGGAAGATAAAACAGCGCTTATGGAATCAATAACGATCAGTTTCAAATTTTGATAAAATTCACTTTTAATATTTTCCTCCTTTAAAGTATAATCAAAATAATAATTAATAAATTTATGGATTTCAAATGCAAATGTGAGCATACAAACTTGTTTATCATGGTCATTATTATTGTATCCTATCGCTTCAATAACTTCCATAACTGAATACACATCAAAACATTTCACCACTCGAATACACTCAAGTACTTTAATCCAATCCTTTTAAATCGTAAAAAATTTTTATTAATGCATAAAAAAAGAAGAGTAATAATAATAATAATAACAATAATAATAATAATGATAATGTTCATACAATTCCCTCATCCCGCGCACTCGCAAATCGATCACTACCGAGAAATAGCGAGACGACACGATCCGAAGAGAATCCGTTCAGTGTATCAATATACAACACGGTATTTGACGATATCACAGTTGTTATTGCTGTAAAAAATGCCATCTAGTTTGAATTATGCAATGATCAATAATTCTAATTCTAATAATTATTGTTATCATCATTGTCATAAAAGAATAATTGAACATCTTATGTTTATAAGGAAAGGAATATTATTTAATGATTACTTGAGTCTTCCCAGTTCCTGACGGACCACTAATCTCTGTAATCTCGCCAGGGTAAATACCACCCGACAATAAGTTATCGATTCTTATTTAAATTAAAAGGTAAGAACATAATCGAGCATAAAATATCAATTAATTCTACGAATTACTTTTCGCATCCTGTTGATAATGGAACACAATTTCTTTGCTGCAAAAGATCGAGACCTGTTTGTGGAACGGCTTTGAATTTATCTTGAACAAATTTGCGAAAAAGTTCTAGATCACGTGTCTAAACCCGGTTTATTTGACAATAAATATTAACTATAATTAAAATTAAATGCAGCTCGCTAATTTACCGTGGCGTAGAAATTTCGATTTGACAAAATATTTTCATTAGGAGTGAGTAATAAGTCACGTTCTATTTATATGTTAACGTCGTGGTAAATTCTAGTATGACAAAAAAGTAAACGGCAACTTACATGAAATAAACAGAAAATTTGGTTACCACAACGAATTCCAACTAAAAGAAGAGATTTAATAACGCGTCGATGTTCATATTCATAAATGAATTCGCCTTCTTCGAACATTATTCCTTATAACGCAACGCGCGTTTAAATGAGTCATATGAGAAACACAATCACCATAATCGGGATCATCCTATTAAATTTTTCCGAATAGTTGTCATAGAGCATGTACAGTACCCCAAAAGGTATTGCCCGGTTCTATACTGGGAGCCACGGAATTACAGGACCCCAACGCAAGGAACAAAAGGAAAGCGAAAATTCCTATCTTCCCCCTTCTTTTCTCCCCAATTCGCCACAAACCGCCCACAAAAATTTAAAAACGAAGAAACAACGGTATCCACTAACGAAATACCAACGAAATAACTGCCGGAACTGGTCAACAGTAACCAAGAAATCACCGACGAAGCAAAAAACCTTAACACCGGCAAAAATAACAGCAAAAAACAAGGAAACAACATACCGGCGAAACAACAGCAAATCTGCCGACGAAAACAGACCCGAATATAGACGCGAAAACAGTGAAATGGTCGCCAAGGGAAAAAGAAAAAGGCGAAATCGACGAAGTGAAAATGGCGACGAAAACAAAGGCAAAATGAGTGTGTTGATTCTTACGCAAGTGCCTTACAAGAACTCTACAGAAGAATAGAAACTAATGGCTTTCAATATCCAGAAAATATTAAAGCAAGAAGATTTGTAAATGGCCTCTTACCAGAATTATATCTCATGATTAAATCTCATAATGACCAAAGCAACAGAATTAACTTATCAAGACCAAAAAGCAGTATTAGTATACATGACATCAATATTGATAAATAATCAAACTAGTGAATTAAATAACACCATAACAAATTTTACTGAGCAGTTATAACTAATCTTTCAAACCAATAACAAAGAAATAATAGAAATAAATTTCAAAATAATAATAATAGAAATAATTTTAATAACAGAAATAATCAATAAAATAATAACAATTAATACAATAGATAATAATAAAATATGATTTGTTATATCGCAATTCAGATTAAGATTAAAATTAGAAGAAAAAGAAGATAAAAAAAGAATAATAATAATAATAACAAGATAATATTAAGATAAAAGAAGAAAAAATACAAAATTAAATTAAAGAAAGTAATAAAGAAAAAAAAGAGTAATATAATTACTTAATTATCTATTTTAGTATTATTATTATCTTATTTTATAGTTAAAGATTTATAGAATTTAAAAGATAAATATATTTATTAATTAACTTCTTGACATAATTTCAAAACTAAGAGATAAATTAGCAAAAAATATTAGAAAATCAAGTAAATAAAAAGAATATTTAACTAAAAGAAAGATAATATATTAAATAAAAAATTTATTATTTTATTATAATATATAAAAATATTACTAAGAGAAAGATAATCTTAAAATAAATTAAAATAAATATAAATAAATTATCATATTTTAATAATTAATATTAATAATAAAAAAAATATTACTTAAAATAATTAATAAACTATTTATTAAAATAAAAGATAAAATTACTCTAGTTAATATTATAATAATAGAAGTAATATCTTATTATATTATAATTAAAAATAATTAGTTATCTAAAATAAAAATAAAATTAGATTTTAAAAATTTAGCTATATTATTTAGATTAAAATAATAAATAATTTAATATATTAATTAAAGATATTAATTAATTATATAAGAAAATAAAAGAAAAATTTATAAAAAATAATAAAGAAAAAATAAAAAAGAAGTAATAAAAAAATAAAAGAAGATAGTAATAAGTATAAAGAAAAAATACTTTAAATAACTTTTTTATTATAATAAATAAATAGATATTAAAAAGATAAATAAAATAAAAAAATAAATAAAATAAAAAAATAAATAAAAAAATAAATAAAAAAATAAATTAAATAAGATAAATTCTATTTTTAATCAAAAAAAAATTTTATTATTAATATGAAAAAATAAAAATAAAAGATAAATTTTATATAAATATTTTAAATAAAGAATAAAAAGAAAAGTTTTATAATTTTATAAAAGATTATTTTAATTTATTTATCTAGAATAAAATAAATTTAATAAAATATTCTTAATAAAATATATTATAAATACTAAGAAATTAAAATTAATTAAATAATATTTTTACAAAATATTATATAAAAATAAGTAGTTTATAAAAGAAAAAATATAAATTTACTTAAAAATAATCTAATTAAATTTTCTTATAATTCTTAATTATTATTAATAATAATAATAAAAAAGAAGAATAATAAATTATATTTATATATTAATTATAAAAAACTTAATAATATAATTAAGAAAAGTATCTATTCTTTATCTTATATTAATAATATATTAAAAATATTATTTAATTTATAATAATTTTTTTCTTTAAATATGACAAGTAATTTTTAATAAGTATAATTAAATCTAATTACAAAAAAATAATTTTTATTATTAATTTAATATTTATAAATTTAAAATAATATCTTTTAATCTTTATAATATATCTATTATTTTTTAAAAACTTATAAATTTAATATTTAGTAATATATTTTAAAATTTTATTATAATATATATAAATAATATAATTATTAATTTTAAAATATTTGAAAAATACTTAAATAAATATTTAAATATTTTAAAAAATTTAATTTGAAATTTAATTTAGAAAAATATTTCTTTTTAAAATATAATTATTTTTTTTATATATTATTAACAAAAATAAAATTCAAACTGATTCAAAAAAATTAAAAACTTTTTAATATCAAAAAATTTAACTTAATTAAAAGAATTTTATTACTCTTTATTCTTATTGTAAAAAATTTATAAAGAATTTTTAATTATAATAGAATTTTTTTAAAATATAATTATTTTTTTATATATTATTAATAAAAATAAAATTCAAACTAATTCAAAAAAATTAAAAACTTTTTAATATCAAAAAATTTAATTTAATTAAAAGATTTTATTATTCTTTAATTATAATAGAATTTTTTAATAAATTATTAAAGAAAAATATTAAATATATTTGAATTAAAGATTAATAAAAAATATTTAAAAAAAATAAAATAATATTTAATATTATTATTAATATTTACTTATTTAAATCTTTTATATTTATATTAATAAAATTAATAGAATAATTTATAAATTATATTATATCATCTTACTATATTATATGTAATTTATTGTATTATAATTATCTAATTTTGTCAAGAAAAATCATATAATTTTTTGAGTTATTTTTATTTTAAAAAGATATTCTTTATAAAAATTCTATTAACTCTTATTTTATAAAAATAACTAGATTTATTACTCTTTTTATATTTTTATTTATAATATTTATTTTTATATTTATATATTTATAAGTATAATTTTATAATAATTATCATAATAATAAAATTTTAAGTTTTTATTATAAAATCTTATTTATTTTTAATTTAGTTTTCTATATAAATTTTAATTTAATTATTTTATTAATATCTTGAATTTTTATATAAATTTTTTGATATTTTATATCATATAATAGAAAGATTATAATTTTAATAATAATAAAATAGGCTTAAATATTATATATATATATATTATATATTTATATATAAATTTATTATTATTTTTATATATTATATATACAGTGTGTTACAAAATTATCTGAAATCAAAAAAAATTTTATTATATTATAGCTAGTAATTTAAAAATTATAAAAAATAGCTTGTTGAAAAGCTAAAAGCTTACAAATTTTATTGATAACAAATTAATAATTAATTCTTTCTCTATTTCTCTCAATTATACTTTGACAACGACTAGATATTGAGTTTATAAGATTAATTATAATATTATCTAAAATATTTTGCCACTTCTTCTTCATAAATCACTCTAAATTCTCAATATTTCAGAACATTCTCTTCTCCATATTTCTTTTCATAATTACTCATAAGTTTTCAATAAGATTTAAGTCTGGACTATTAGATAGTTATTCCAGTATTTTCAGAATATTTTCTTGTAAGTAGGCTTTGATAATTTAATTAGTATGCTTGAAATCATTATTTTGCTGAAAGTACTAATCATTTTCAAGTATACTATTAATTTCTGAGATATATTTACTGATAATATTTACATAAAACTTAATATTCATTATTTATCAAAAATAAAATAAATTTATTTTTCCTTTAATAGAGAAATCATCTCATACTATTATTTTTATTTAGTCTTTTAATATAGAATAAGTTTGTTAAATATCTTTATATCAGTACTTTACTATATTCTGAAAGAGCTAAAAAGCTATCTTATTCAAAAATAATATCTAATTCTAGTTATTATTAAGGTAAGCTTTTGTCTATTCTATTCATCTTTCTTTATAATTGATAATTAGCATAGATATGATTTTGGACAAGCTTTTTGAGTAGCTCATGATAATCATATGATAAGCAATAGTAGTATGAGATACTTGAATATTAATTTTGAATAATTTTGTGATAAGTATTCATATAGAAAGTGAAATATTCTTATATATATACTGTCTGAGTGCTCGAGATACATATGTAATAATTTTTTTTAGATCATCTAGCATTTTTTACATATTAATTTATCCTTATTTTCTTTAGTTTTTTGATATTATTATAAATAGTTTGGAAATAATATCAATCTATTTATGAATTTATTTGATATTTTAAATATCATTATTTTATAATTATAATATAATTTGATATTATATTTTTTTCTTTGAAAGAGATATTGTATATGCAATTATTATAAAAGGTACTATAATAATTTATATTATTAAATATGTTAAAATTTAGCTTGAAATACAAATTTTATTTTATATTTTACATATAAGAAATTGCATGTATATATAATGTGCTAGATATATTTATGTTACATATAAAAAATTTCAAATAATTTTATAATATATAATATATATACTTATATATAAATTTATTATCTTTTACATATTGTAATCAATTAGCTTATTCATGTGGTGCAGTAGATGTGGTGCAGCATATGGCGCAGTTACAGCATGTGGCGCAGTAATCACTGATCACTACTAAATCAGGTAAATAAGTAATTTATATTAATTAATTTAATTTATTATTAATTCTATTTTTAATTCATA